CTGTTCAATTCCTGTTCCAAGTTTGCTTAAGGAGAACCCAATTCCTTGCACTTAAATCTGCTTATATTAGATTTCTGTTGTTTTCTTTGGTTCTCAAAATTTTCAGCCAATTTCTAGGTTAAAAAGGCTGTTTCAAACCTACAGTAGCAACAGAACTACCTTGTAAGGAAGGGATACTTTTCTTCCTAAACATCTCTGATCAAACCGTATACCATTTCAAAATAAAATAGCTGTGTATAGGAAGGATCAGTGGTATATCTTTTTTCCAAGGTTTAGGTTTCCAAAGTTGTTAAAAAAACTAAGCAAGCAGCAGCCCCAAAGCTATAAGTCGCAGTGACAGTCCAAATCTTTAATTTTTTTTTTTTTTTGTCTGTAGGAAAGATTAGATGGGCAGACCTGAATGCAGTCATTGCCTAGACTCAACTTGGGATGCTAAGAATCAGTTTATCTCTATCCAAAACAGCAAAACATCTTGGTGAGATAGATTGCCATGTGGTACAAGCAAACAGAATTCTATAATGGAAATGTAGAAATTTAAAATTGCCTGGAAGTCTTCACTCAAGTGCCTATGAGTAAGGGACAAACCTTAAAACGGCAGTTTTCTGTAAATCCTGAGGTTGAGCAAAGTCTGGAAAACATTGCAGTTTAGATCTTTCAAAGTCTCTGAAAAACAGCTTTTTGCCTAGATATTTATTAGATACCTATACATTTTAAAAGACCAGAGCTTGTGGCCAAAATGTGCCACAGTAATTATAGACCTTCCTTAGATTTTTTTCAACTGAAACATCTTCGTATGCATTTTAACATACAAATCTAGCCAGTAGAATCAAGTTCTGACTTGTGTCTGAAGCAGATGTTTCTGAGAGCTTTAATAGATTTGTCAGGTACTAAATTGCGAGCTTGAAAAATAATTTAAAAAACTGCAAGCTTGGTAAAACAGCCATTTTGCCTAAAGTAAACCAATGAGTTGAGTGTTGCTGATAGCAGCTTCTATACCTATAATATTACCTGTTAATTGTGAGTGAAAGCCACTTAAAGGCTTAATGTTATTGGATTACATTTTGTATCTGCTCAGAGGATGGACTTCTGACTTCCAAAGTACTAAGCTGCTCACAAAATAGAAAGCTTTTTTGTTTTTTCCCTTGCCAGTCCACAGGTTGATGGTGGGGTTGATGTGATTTCTTCTCTTTTCAATCCTGCATACTGATAGCAGGTTGGTGGCTGCAGTACCACCCCAGGAAAATGTGGTCCCAGTTCCAGCTTATGAAGCAATTCCATTTTTCCCCAAATATGCAGGAAAACTGCAACTGTTTGTAGGGTTGCACTGGCACCTTGATCAAGGATTGACCTGATTTGAAGAAAACCTTGGAGAAAAGGTTCACCTTTGAAGGAGTGGTGGGAAGTCCTCAGGTAGCAATTCTTGCCCAAGCAGTGGTGCTAACTGAACACTATCAAAATATGGCCTCGGTTTCTTGGTTCAACGTGAGCCTGTCCCTGTGTGCTCTTTGCCCGTATAAAATCTGTGGCTGTGCAGATTCCTCAATCAATAGCCATTAATTTGTAGAAAATCTTGATTTACAAAACTCTAGCAGTTCAGAAAGGGGCTTTTCCCTCATCAAATTATATCAAGGAGGAAATGTGTTAGGTATATATTATTTCTGTGATTTGCCACCCTTGATTAATAAGGAGGCAGCATAGATAAAGATCAAAATTAACTTTTTAATTATTAATTTTGAAGTTTAGTGCCTAAGAAAGATAATAAAGATCTGATATATTCATTCCTTTTCCTTGGCCAAAATAGTTAAATTTATGACCTGATCATTCATTCCTTTTTCTTAATTCCTCACCCTTTTTCTTGCTCCACCCTGACTCTTGCCTCTCACAATGCAAGTGCTGCGTGGTCCACCCCAACTTGCCTTTCCAGTTAGTACAGCTTCTCCTCTGTGCACCGACCCCGTGTGTTGTGCAGTCCCTGTCAGAGGTTCCTCCCCCGTTTGCCTTTCGTGCTCTCACCTTTTGGCTGCTGCTTTGTGAACTGGTAGAAGCAGCGCATGGTTTTTGCTTTCCCTATCTTCTCTGCTCTGACATGGCTAAGTGTATTCCTTTTGCGCACTTGCTGTCTTAGCTTTCTTGAGTCTCTTTTTGTTATTCCTCTGCCCCCTTACTCCCAAATCATTACCTATTTCCAGAGTGCCTCCTTCCCAAGGGTTTTCTCTCAGCTTTGCTTGTAATTTCTTTCATGTATGTTTTATTTCTGGGTAATGCTGCCTATTAGAGTAAATTCACCTATTACACCTACTCAAATGATCTGCAGATCTGTTTTTTTTTTATTCTGTTGGGTTCGCCCCC